AGAGCGGATTTTATGAAATTTGCATATCCGTTATTTTTTGCATATAAGGCTTAATATTTAATATGTGAACGAATCATGCTAATTAAAAATTAATAGAGCTATAAAAAAATTGCATATTTGCATATATTTGCCTTCTGCTGCATATTTCACGGAACGGGTGCATATTTTGCATTTTTATCAATTTTTGTGCTAATTTAAAAAAAAATCATTGTCATTCTATCGACATTTATCTAGAAAGACGAAATTTTATGAATCATATTGCAAATATTGTCCTGAGCTTCAAATAACTACGAAAGGTTTGGGTTTGATGGTAGTTTAGAGACACCACTGGGTGTTAAGCCATCCTTCCAGGTAAATTCGCGGCGTAATTATTTTGGGAAATACGGTTCATTCCCAATATTTTTGTTCGTTAGTTAAGTGTATTAATGGTACGTTTAGTGGTGGTCGAAGGGACGTTATACTATTACTTTTCATCGTGAGTTTGTATTGAAAGCATTTAAAGGGATACAATATGTCGAAAATAAATCAAATTTATTTATGGATTAAACCTTTTCCTGAACTTATTCTTCAAGAACGAACTGTCTTTTGTCGCGCCTGCCCTAAACCCGTAAGTATTTTTACATCTGTGGACGTAGTACGCAATTTTTCTATTTACAAATACATATATTTTAGAATTACCGGAAAAACTTTTTGTCAAAATATTTCGAAAAATATTTAAAAATAAATTGTTACCAAAATAGTAATTAAATAGTGGATTACTACTATTTTTTAATTTCTTCTGTTTATATTTATTTTTTAGTATAACAATATTATCTTTAAAAACGTGATTTATGTGTTAGTAAGATGTAATTAAACACTTTGCAATGTGATTTATGTATTTTTTGTAATAAAACGTAAGCTCGGGAAACCTGTTTTTGTATTTTATAAATAAATTTAGTTCGCTTATTAAGCGTTTTTTTTTATTTTTGGAGCATATGCAACTGCATATCTCTGCATATATTAAGAAAGTTACTGCATAATTGCATAAAATTGGTGCATATCATATGATCATATTTCTCAAAATTTTGCTGCATATTTTCCGCTCTCTAGTTATAATGATTTCAAAATTCTACGAGCAGAAATTAAGCAAGAAATCAAACTGTCTTACTCAGTTTATATTCATAATATTGAAAACAAAATCCATTCTGATCCAAATTTTTTTTGGCAGTATATACGCAACATTAAAAAAGAGAATCTTATTCCAAGAGTAATGACCTATAATAACACTGAAATAACTGATCCCATGAATATCGTAAACTCTTTTGCTTCTTTTTTTCAAAAATGTTATATTCCGTCGAATTTATCTAATGTGTCCGATATAAACTCGTCTTCTAATTGTCCTTCCTTACTCATAAATTCTCTTAGTGAACAAGAGGTATTTTCTGCTTTACGAAACATGAAAAATAAGACAACAGCTGGACCGGATGGTATACCTTCATTTTTACTAAGAGATTGTGCAAGTGTTTTTGCTTTCCCACTGTCAATTATTTTCAATCTCTCTCTTAAATCTGGGGTGTATCCTTCCATTTGGAAAAAATCCAATATCTGTCCCATTTACAAGAAAGGAGACAGACATGAGATTGAAAATTATAGGCCTATAACTTTGCTTTGCAATTTCTCTAAAGTGTTTGAATTATTATTGTATAATAACATCGCTAATCACGTTCGGCCGTTCATATCTTCCCAGCAACATGGTTTCTTTAAGGGGAGATCTATTGATTCAAATTTATGCTGTTTCACTCAGTATGTGTCGGAATCGTTTGATGCGGAAGCTCAGGTAGACTGTGTATACATGGATTTTTCCAAGGCATTTGACAGGTTAGACCACTTCAAATTACTGAAGAAGCTTGATAGTTTTGGTTTATCAGATGCACTTGTTAAATTATTTACTTCATACTTGATTGGCAGAACACAAGTTGTAACTTCAAGCGGTTTTCAATCTTTTGAATTTCAAGTCACTTCTGGAGTACCACAGGGGTCCATTCTTGGGCCTCTTTTTTTATTATGTTTGTTAATGACATCAGTAAGGACCTGAATTCAGAATGTCTTTTATATGCTGACGATTTAAAGATTTTTAGAAAAATATTAACATTCTCTGACCACGTAATGCTCCAAGAAGATTTAGCCACAATTGAGACAAGGTGTATCCAAAATGGATTGTACTTGAACATTTCGAAATGTAATGTCATGACATTTTCATTAAACCTCTGTAACAACTCATATGATTATAGAATCGGTGACACCAGTTTGAACCGCCATCCGCAATAAAAGCTCTAGGGTTTGTTATCAGAAGCTGCAAAAACTTTCTTGAACACACAACATTTTTACACCTTTATTTTGCATTTGTTAGGTCCAAATTAGAATATGGCTCCGTTGTGTGGTCACCTGGTTACAACAGTCACTGTCTGCAACTAGAGAAAGTTCAACGAAGATTTTTGAAATTTTTGCATTTGAAGTCTTACGGCTTTTATCCGGAAAGAGGTTTTCCTCAAAGTGATCTACTGAGAATCTTCTCCATACAAAGTCTAGAATCTCGGAGGCTAAACATTTCATTACGTTTTCTCCACAAGCTTGTCAACGGGGTAATCGATACCAATATTTTACTTGGAAAATTGTCTTTTCTGGTACCTCGATTTGGATCGCGTAATCCTGGAAGTTTTTATGTTGAAGTTTCGCGAACTAATGTACACATGTACCCGCCAATAATAACTATGTGCCGTAATTATAATTTGCACAAAGACAAGTTCGACCTTATTAATTCCACGCTTAGACAAATAAAATACTTGCATTTTTAAATTTTAAATTTCGTACTTACCACCCTGATAATTGGTTTCACTGTGGGGGTGGTTATCAATAATAATAATAATAATAATAATAAATCAAAGAAAATACAAATAAATAAATCTAAGAATAAGAGACAGGTTAAGAATAAATTATTTCAAAAAAATAGAAACAGAGTAACTAAATATTTGTTCCAAGACAGCACTTCTGACGAATCATCTATCGATGAAAATAATATTTGTGATGATGATTCTGAATACTCTGAGGAGGAAAATGTATGTATGATTTGTAACGATGTTGATAAAGATGAAGAATTATGGTATCGTTGCAGAGCTTGTGGCAAATGGGCCCATTCTGAGTGTTCAGGTTGCGATCACCCTAAAGAGTATCTTTGCAATTTTTGTTTAGATCCCTAAAATACCTTTTGTTATTACTTTTTTGTTGAAAATGTTTTATTTTATTTTTTGTTTATTAATTAAAAATTTTTGATTGTTTAAGTTCCTCTTTAATAGGTAAAAATATGATTTTATTTTGTTTGGTGTTGTTTCATGGCTCTCATTACACATATGAAGGCTTCATGGCTCTCATTACCCGATGCGTGTGGCAATGCGAGCAAAAGTAAGATTTATAGAAAACGTGATTTTACCTATGTAAGGCTGTATTTTTTTGTGTTCTTTAGCAATTATTGACGGGTAACTAAAAGACTGATTAGTGTCTATAAATGTCAGTGATTGTAACCGAACTGTATTTTTTTTTACTTTTCCTTACATGGCTCCAATTCCCCCACTCTCCCCTATATTATACACCAAAGTTGTGAAGACGATTATTTTTTTTTACGCCGTTTAGAGCCCAAGATGCGTAGCATCGAGGGCTATAAAAGCGTTATGGCTATAATAATCTTCACAACCGCGGTTTATATACTATTTTTTTCACTACTAGAATGTGTGCAACCCATTATTGAATGTTAATCAAATTGAACATTAAATATGAATCGTTATAGTCATTGTCTACTTTCTTACTCCAAATATTTTGTTTCTCTATACGCATAAAATGCTACTAAAATATTATAGCTGTATATTTTTTAAATCTTATATTTTTACACCTAATTTTTGTTAATTAAAAATTAGGCTGTCACATAAAATTACCCACACAGATCATGTAGGTGCATTGATTGACATTTCAAAAAATTTTTGTGACGCTACGCTTGTGGTAAATTTCTTATAAAAAGAAGTGAAGTAAGATGTCGAGTGACGATGAATTGCCAATAATAAACTCTACTCCACCTACTATAAACGAAGTGGCTGAAAATATTAATTTACTGATACCAAAATCGAAACATTTATATAGTAAAGTGTATTCCAATTACAAAGATTGGTCTCGGGCAAAACAAACAACAAAAACGTCTGAAAACGCCCTACTTGTGCACTTCGGTCAACAATCTAAAAAGAAAACAGCTTCCACACTGTGGGTCACTTTTTCAATGTTAAAATCTACAATTGAACTGTAGATTTATACTTTAATTTACGTTTCCAAACAATTGACAGTTTCATTATTAACCTTGGTCAAATTTTATTATCATTATTGACTTTGGTAGAGAAAAACGAATTCACAACTCACAGACAAGCATGATAATGGTGCATTTTTAAGCTAGTAGTGAAAAAAACAATTTTTTTCACTACTAGCCTCAGAAGACTTCATTATATATCGTGTTTGATGCTTGAGAAATTACTGTTCTCCACCTTACCCAATAATGGATTTTTCTCTCCTACTAGTAGATAATGAAAATAATTGACAGTATTGCCATGGTTACCTTAGAATGTCGTAGTTGAGGTGTTTACTTGACATTAAGCTGCCACATTTTATACATTGTTTATTAATGACAGATGATGTAGAACTGGGAAGCTGAAATTTCTTGCGAAATCTTAAATTTGCCGCCTGGACCACACTCCAGCAAGAATGCCACCAGAGCAATCATGAAAAATCTATTGCAGTTATTCTTACGAGCACGCGACATTTTTAACCTCTAATTTGTGTAATCTGTTAAGAAGTAGTATTTTTATAATAAATAATGAAAATGTTAATGTAGAAATAATATTGTGTTATTCGAAAGACAAATGTTTATTAAAAAATTGAGAATAATAAGTATTAACAACAAAGTAACTAAAGATTAACACCTCAACTATAATTATTTGAAATAATAGTTAATTGTGCAGTTGTGGCACGTCATATTGATTCCCGATGTATTGCGATTGGAGGTAAAGTTCTCCACCGGTATAGTTATTTCACTGTTTGTAGCAGCATGTGTGGAAGTAGATGGCATTTCATTACACACTTCTTCACTCCTCTCACATAAAATATTGGAAGAGCTAGGAGCAGGTAGGTTAATGTGATGAGGTGTTCCCTGAATTATATTTGCAATTCTTCTTTTGTCAGTGAGAGACTCCTCAACATACCCTTCAGCAACCATTGAGCTTTTCCAGCCCCCATGGCGTTTGAGTGATAATATGTCCCCACCCATATCAGCCAAAATAGTCGCTGATGTTCGCCTCAATGTATGGCCAGTAAATTCGTCGACATTTGGCAGTTGTAGGTATTGAGCTATTTTATAAGGTGTCTTGCTTATCGTATTATGTCCCATGTTTTGTCTAGTCGGTTTTCCACCTCTAAACCCAATGAAAAGCCTTGCCATATCAGGAGACGGCCTTTTTGTCAAGTATTTTTTAACCACATCAATCCAGGTGGGCTCCATAATGACAAATTTTCGAGAAGATTTTGTTTTTGTTTGAGGGATATTTATGACTATCATATCCTCTCGTGTATCTACATCTGTCATTTTCATGTTGCAGAGCTCATCTGTCCGACAAGCTCCTGCAATTCCTATAATGAGAATAACCTGGAAGCAAATGTAATTTGGCGTTTTTTAAAATCTCATTGTCAATTAACAGAATTACCTTAGACGAAAGAAAAATTTCATCAGGTGCTTCTAAAATAAATTTTGTGATTTGATGCTTCTCAAAAACAGCCGCCTTTTTGGGTGTGTAGGAATCATTTTTGCGTTTGAGAAAAGCAATTACTTTATAATATTTTGAAATATCCACATTTTCTTTTAATTTAAGAGTTTGTTTTAACATAGAAAATGTGGCCCATAGACTGGAAGCTTTTTTGTTTTTAGCTTTTTCTTCCATATAAACAAGGACATTTTCTGACACTTTGGCCACTTTTTTAATTTTGCACCAATCTTTGAATTGTGCGTAAACTTTTAAGTAGAACTCTTTTGATTTTTGTGGCAGTAATTGATCACACTGCACGTTACTTGCTTCTTTTCGGATTTCTGGCGGGGTGCACACACTAGTATCTTCGTCGCTAGTCGACATTTTGCTCTTTATTAAGATTTTTGGTTTAATGTCATTTTTATTCATTTGTTTTCACAGGCTATTTGATTTTCATGGATATCTTAAATTCGTTCCGACTTTTATACATTGTCATTAAAGAAAAGTTAAACAAATGTGCTAGTAGTGAAAAAAATAATATATAAACCACGGGAGAGAACCATTTTATAGCCTCGCTTTCATTATTACCACTGTCCTGACACTTATCTACCAAATGCAATCCCCCAGCTATTGTGTAGCACTCTCCGCGCGCAGTAGTGTCGACCACTCGATGCGGTCAGCTACATCGAGTGCAGTGGCGGGACCTGATACTCGCGTGTTTGCAAAACTAAACGTATTCTTCAAAATTATAAAAGACGTTTCTAGCTAATACGACCTGCCAAATGACCACTCTGCACGTGGACGTAAATACTGAGGGCTTCATACAAGTAATAAACATCGACCATCGTGGGATCGGGTAGCAAGCTCCCGACCGTCCGACACGTTTACGCCAAGGCATCCTCTCTGTCGCGCGCGCCACTGTTACGTACTTGGTAGATAGTTGTCAGGCCTTTAATTATTACCCTCGACGCTACGCGTCTCGGGTATAATTCAGCTCGGCTATAAAAATTGTTTTCTCTCCCTTGGTATATAATTACTATTCCTACATTACTGTTACTGTTCACAATATTGTCGATGACAAATTGTAGTACCACCCTCTGAAGACGACTCAATTTGATGAAAGACATACTGGTGTCAACATAAAAAATGATCTACATGAGACAATGGTATTATGGAACATTGATGAAAAAGTCAAAGTTGCAACAACAGATAATGGAATATGGTGAATGCCATTTCATCTAAAACTAAAAAAAAAAGAATTCAATTCTTATTTATTCTCATGTTCAAGCGATACAAAATTCAGAGTATTTGTTGCTTCAGATTCCATAAAATTAACTAAATGTGACTTATAAATGAAACTTCATCAATTGTCATTATGTTTGATTTCAGAATCCAGATTGGCATCGGAAACAAAAATGTATTGTTCTGTTTCAGTTTTTTTGACTAATTCAAATATCATATATATATGATATGTTGTGTCGTGTGTTTGTGTTCGTTGTGATTTAACTGAAGACAATCCCAAATCATTTGTTCAGTGTACAACGTGTCCTTATATGTCACACTTTAAATGTGAAAACATCGACCCCAGAGGCTTCCATATAAAGAAGGCAGCATGGAGATGTGCGAGATGCAGTGGCGAGGCTAAAGATAATACTATCGGAAACCTAACTAGCTCTAACTTAAGAAACGAGCATTTTCACGTGCTTCCAACTTGAACACCATGGAGGCTAGGAATTTGCTAATTGACATAATGGATTATTTAAACCAGATGAAGGCAACCTTGGACGAGGTTCTTGTGGAAAACAAAAAGCTACGGATGGAGATATCTCGACTCAAGGAAAGTGATAAGTATTCACTTTCACCTGACCCACTATCTGTCGTTGAGGCTAAACAAACTAGACAAAATTATCTTTTAAATAATAATATTAATAATAATCTTTATTAATTCCTATGGACAATTATATACAATTGTGTAGAATAAGTCAAATACATACAATACAAATTAATACAACAATGACATGTACAAACATAGTATACGGACACATACAGAGGTAGGTATGGGTAGACATGTCAATTATATATTATCTACTAGGTATTCATTAATTGTGTAATATGCCTTCTCTATTAATAAATCTTTAACTTTTAATTTAAACTGTTTTACATTTAGTTGTTTCATGTACTGTGGTAATTTATTATATAAACATATTGCCATATATTTAGGAGTATTTTTATAGAATATTAAATTATGTTTTGGGATTTCTAGTATATATAAATTCCGTGTATTATAATTATGGTAAACATTAATCGTTCTAAAACTATTATAATTTATCTGCACATGAGTCACTACTGTGTATATGTATAAACTAATAACAATTAATATTTTTGCGGAGGTGAAGTACGTCCTGCAATTATCCCTGTATTCAATCCCCATCATTATTCGTACCGCCCTTTTTTGCAGTCTGAGGACTCGTTCTATGCCTGAACACATTCCCCACGCAATTATACCGTATTGGAGATGAGACTGAACGGTAGCATAGTAGTACATTTTTATTATTTTTATTTCAGTTGTTTTCTTTAATTGTTTAAGAACAAAGCAACATACAGACAACTTGTTGCATAGGACTTCAATTTGGCTTTTCCACTTTAATTTGTTATCCAACAATATGCCTAAAAATTTTATTTCGTTCACTTGTCTTATTGAGCCAGCATTGGATTTTATCAACATGCTATAATCTTTTTCTTTATGTATATCAGTAAAATCAATAAATGTGGTTTTTTGGTTGTTTAATACTAAATTATTTTTACTGTAATATTCTTCTATTTCCATTATTTTTTTTTTTGCTGTTTTAGTTATATTACTTTTTTTGTCTGCATTTATTATTATCGATGTATCGTCTGCGTACATCACCGATTGGTTGCAAGGGAAGTCTGATACATATGTTAAATATAAAAGAGGTCCTAGTACGGACCCCTGTGGTATCCCTGTGGTCGTGACTAACTTACTTGATCTGATTCCATTTATTTCAACATAGTGTGCCCTGTTTTCGAGGTAACTTTTATACCAATCCCATGTTACTCCTCTGATACCATTTTGCCAAAGTTTTTCTAGGAGTTTTTGGTGGTTGACAAGATCAAATGCTTTGCTCAAGTCTATAAAGAGTCCTATGCTACTTTTGTTATTGGCGATATTTTCGTGTATTCTATTTAAAAAATCAAAGAAAGCCGTTGACACTGATTTCCCTTTAGTAGCCATATTGTTGCGGATGATTACGTCCAGAAATTTCAAGAAACTTACTTAATCTTTCAGCAACAAGTTTTTCAATAACTTCTGAGATGCAGTTCAAGTTTGATATCGGTCTATAATTATTCGTTTGTGTTGGGTCCCCACTTTTAAAACATGGTAACATTTTGGATGTCTTTAATAAACTTGGGAATTTTCCACTTTTAAATGAATTATTTATTATAACTGTTAATATTTCTGCCAGTTGTATGGCACAATGCTTTAACAGTATTGAAGTTATCTCATCTGGACCATTAGCATTACTATTTTTTAATCCGTAGATTGTGTTACAGATTTCTGTTTCTGTGACTGGCTGTAAAAAAAATGTTAGATTGTTTATATTCGTAATTTTGCTGATTTTGTTATATTGACTACATAATATGTTATTTGAGTTAAATTCTTTGGCAACGTTATTAAATGAGTAGTTTAATTTATTAGCACATTCGTAATTATCATTTATTATATTACCATCAACGTCTATTTGTATTTCCTTTTTTATTTTTGCCTTTTTTCCAATAATTTCCCAAGCTGTTTTGTTCTTATTAGTGGAGATTTCCATTAAATAATTATTGTATTGTTTTTTGGCTTGCATGATATTAGCTTTGTGTATTTTTTTATGTCTCTTATAGAGATTTCTGGCTGTTTCATCCCCGTCTTTAGACTGTTTGAAAAGTTCCTTCAGAAATTTGGCGGAACTTTTTATTTCTGGCGTAATCCATTTTTTTTAAACCTGCTTTTTATCTGTTTTGTGTTTTAATGGAAATGCAATATTAAAATAGTGTGTAATTATATTATAAAACATGTTATACTGAACATCAGCGTCATTGCAATGTCTAACGGTGTTCCAATTTTCCTTATCTAAGAGATTTTTGAAGTTCCATATGAATTGCTAACTGCAGAAAGGGGACATGTCCCATTTTTTACCACAATAACATTCGTACATAATCGTGTTCTAGAGGTCTAAACACATCTTTACTGCAATAAAAACGGGCCATGTTTAATGATTTAGCTCGGGGCTACAAGCGGATGAAATTTACGGTTACAGCAGAAAAGGGATATGTCCAGGAGATATCGACTTTCTGCAGTAAACACCGTGGTCTCAACGTCTTGCGTTATTCTTATCCAACACGACACTCAAAAACATGTCTTACATGGTAATTTCTTGTAGAGAAGTAAGAATTTTGCAATTAAGCTACGCCCTCTTGGCTCACGACGAATAAAAAAATCATCACAATTGAGATAGGGTGGGTGGGCGGGGCTTATATTTTGCCCTTTTTTCTTAATCTCCGCAGTCATCTTTTCACAACAAAAATTTAAAACACATGTTTAAAATGGTAAATTTTTGTAGGGAAATATAGATTTTTCAGTGACGCTTCACTCCTCGGCCTGGAAACGAATGAAAAATTCATCATTAAACTAAGCCCCACCCACACCTGCCGCGAACTCAATAGTGGAGAAATTTTCATTCGTTGCCAGACTGGGGGGCGGAGCATAATTGCAAAATTTGTAGTTCCCTACAAAAATTTACCATTTTAAACATGTTTTAAATTTTTGCTGTGAGAAGATGACTACGTATATCAAGTGCAAAATTAGTATAAGCCCCGCCCACCCACCCTATCTCGATTGTGATGATTTTTATATTCGTCGTGAGCCAAGAGGGCGGAGCTTAACTGCAAAATTCTAATTTTTTAAATTATTATTCTTATCCAACACGACGCTGAAAAACATGTCTTACATAGTAATTTCTTGTAAAGAAATAAGAATTTTGCAATTAAGCTACGCTTTGGCTCACGACGAATAAAAAAAATCATCACAATTGAGATAGGGTGGGTGGGTGGGGCTTATATTTTGCCAATTTTTC